TGCAATGTTTTAGGCGTTTTCTCCATAAATCCCATTACTGGCTATCTTAGTACGTCATCTGCCTTTGACAGAGAATCTAAATCAAATTACACAATAATTGTTGAGGCTTCTGACATGGATTCCTTGGCCTCTCTGTCAAATACGTCTGAAGTTGTTGTTTACGTTACCGATGTGAATGATAACTCGCCTGTCTTCAGTCAGTCTCAATACAGTGTAAATATATCGGAGGCAGAAACTTCAGGCTTCAATGCTATCAAGGTAATTATAGCTTGATGCTAACAGAACAGTTATGACACTATGCGTATTTATGACTCTAAGACCCAGTTCCCTTAAAGTGCATATAAAGATAGTTTACCGATCATTAAATATGGTTTGAGGAAAAGAAATTCAAAAATCGAAATAGAGGTGTGTTTTTGAGGCGATTCAAGTTCAAAAATGGCCTCCTGTGCTTTTTGTATCGCGAGAGTCCTAGAGAGACTGGAGACAATAAACGTGTCACGTCGCTCCAGTYAGATCAGTCTCGAAGTTTGCAGAGAAATACTAGCAAAATTCCGTCATTCCGTCATTTGAATCTGACATTAAAGAAAACGAAATTCGGGAATTAATATTCGAATGAATTATTTAATTAATTATTATGATTTCTAGGCTACTGCTTACAGAGGGCATTGCTAGTAATATGAGCACCGTGCAATATAACATGATCTATGCACAATACTTACATTCAATTTTTTGTTGTTTTTTTTTGGGGGGGGGCATCCCGGTGTTTTAACCCCGGAGTCCCCCCTCCCCCGGATTGTTTTGTTACGTTAAGTTTATCAACAAAATTTAACATATAGTTACATGTCAGTTTACTGTCTTTACAATATAATATATCATTACACTTCTTTGCAGGTCGACGCAAGTGATAAAGACATAGGTGAAAATTCCAATATAACGTTTTCCATATTTTCTGGTAATACTGGTGGAGCATTCCTTATCGATRGGCAGACAGGTCAAATCCAGGTTGCTGGGAAACTGGACCGAGAAACACAGAACAGATATGAATTAATCGTCGATGCAACTGATGGTACATATAATTATACAATGMAGACAGATGGTCATTGATTATACCATGTTTGAGTCGTTTTGCATAGGAAACTATAAGCGTACGACTGACTTGCCGAAGAAGCGTTTGTGCTTTCATGCTTTACATTAGCTTCAGGGGGTGGGGCAATTGCTTCCTCTTGAGTTACAATGCAGGCTTTTCCACATCTATCTTCTTAAACCATACGGCTAGTGTTTACAAGCTTCACAAAACTGAAATTGCCAACTGAAAACTGATAAATTAACCTTGTCTCTCATTGTTTTGGTATAGTATTGTACTAACTTTTCATTGCTTTTTGTAATGCCATGCTTTCAGGTGGTAAGTCTGAACGTGCATCTACAGTACTGGTACTAATAAATATTATTGATGCTGATGACCATGATCCAGTCTGCACGCAAATCGTTGAGCCCGTGAAGATCAARGAAAACTTGGCTCCAGGGCAAATRATTGCAAAGGTATCCAMCATTTCCCGGTTGATGTATATGATGTCGGTTAATGATAAGGTTGCTATTTCATCAGGTGTCAATAACTGACAAGGACAAAGACATCAAGCAAAGCTTCATGTWCCGTCTACAAAGTGATGACTTTGCTGTTGATCCAAACACTGGTGTTGTAAACACAACCAGATCATTAAACAGAGAACTGCGATCTGAATATGAGTTACTAGTTGAGGGTTATTACTTAAACCAAAGCTCCAAAACTGTGAACTGCTCAGGTGGGTTTTGTTGAATTAAATTGACCCTGTAAAAGGCAAGTTCTGACTATTCATTTCTTTATCATAGTGCGCGTTCTTGTTGAAGATGAAAACGATAACTCGCCAGTGTTCAACTTAACCAGTCCCTCTCTGTTAAGTATCATGGAGAATACTACAGTTGGTACAACGTTGCTAACAGTTACCGCAACAGATGATGACGTAAGCTATAACGCTGACGTGAGATATTCAATAATTGGAGATGGTACTACATTCGCCATTAATGCAACAACAGGTATAGGGACACTATACAATTAACYATTTTTATTACAGTTAAACCGATAGGATTACCACAGGCCAATATCAATGACAACTTTATTTCTAATTAACTTCATTTTTTCAGGAACACTTACACTGATTGGTAGCTTAGACCGAGAAAAGACGCCACAATACACTATCGAGATATTCGCGACTGACCGAGGTCTTCCCCAGTCCCGCTCATCCAGCTTAACTGTTACAATAAACATCACCGATGTTAACGATAACAGGCCGTTGTTCAGTCGAGACGTCTACACTGTTGAAATCTCTGAGAATGCTAACAATACCAGAGTACTGGATGTTGAAGCTCAAGACAAGGATGAAATGATGAATGGCGCTGTGCAGTACAGTATAACAGGTATAGCAGCTGACCTGGTAGACTTGACAAAAATTGTAGTTAAATAAAAGAGGAAGAAATCGAAAACAGAGATTAAAGCGAAATAAAGAAGATTAACTTGTAGCTAGTGAATGGATAATAGTGTGACAGTACTACTATATGGCCCCGTTGCCATCATTTCCATATTTCAATGTCTTTAGCTAAATGCCTTTTCTATTTTGTTATTTTCTATGATAGCTGGAAATACTGGAAACTTCTTCATGATCTTAACBAATGGATCGATCTTCACAGCTGCTCCACTGGACAGAGAAACTCAAAATCGATATGAGCTTACAATAACAGCATCAGATATGGGGGAGCCTGCTTTAAATTCTAGTG